AGGGAAGATTCCAAAACTGGCAGAGTCGCCAGTCGTGAACAGGTCTGGCATGAATGAGGGTGGGTCTTTGTCGTGTCTCCATGATCTGCTCACCGCACCAATGTATGAAACCCTTGAGGCGTCAAGTCTTGTCGAAGGTACTGGCTTGAGAGTGAAGAGGAGAGGTAGTAAAACATTTTCGAAGGGCGTGTGGAAGCTATGGCGCACAGTTCACTAAATAGGCGGCGGAATGGCGCTCTGATTCTCTGGGCGTTCCATGATTTCCTGCAATTCTTCCGGAGCACCTTCGAGTGAGACGGCGACACCAAGTTTGTGGGTGTTCTGCATGGAATTCAGTCACTGTCCGGCATGACATGGGGAATAATTTGATGAGAGATCAATCAAAACTTACCTTCCATTGATCGATCTCGGCAGCGAAAGTCAATGTCACTGGAGGTGCAACCCGCCTCTCTAGCACAACGCCAAATTTCCCAGTGCTGTCGACTTGCGCACGGTAGACCGAGTTGGTGAAGCTGTATTTGAGACCAACAGTCGTAGTGCCTTCTCGTCGAAGGCCTCCAAACATGCTGGCACCCATGCCAGGAGCAAATTGCAGTTGACAATCAACACCGGCCTCGACCTTGTCGGTCAATCGTCTCCAGTATGTAGCTCCCAATGAGCCTTGGCTCAGCCATTGTGCACTGGCAATCCAGTCTGTACTCTTGTATCTCGCACAGTACGACAACGCAGTCTCAGGTTTGCTGTTCAATGCGGGTCGCTGCCACACACCCTCAAGCCCTAGTGCCAGCTTTGGTGTAATTGATTGCAGGTAACTTCCGATGAAGATGCCGGTGAGGCCACCTTCCATGATGGACGGGCTGAGGGCCTTGATCGATGCCGAAAAATCATTACCCGTGTACTCGTTCTCGATTTGCACCATGGTCTGGGTCTGTCGCGGGTCAATCGAGGTCTGCGTCTTGGTCACGAATCGTGGAGTCCATCTGAGATTTCCCCAGGCCGTCAAGGATCGATCGCTCGAGTAGGCGGCTTGCATGAAAATCTATCGTAACGGTCAGTCGGGTTAGGTGCTCCTTATCGCGAAATCGAAAGAAAGGGACACGTACATCAGAAGTGCCATACAAGGCCATTAGTTGCCACGGCGGTAGAGCTTGCGAACCCATTGCGAAGCCATGTTGTAGACGAAAGAGAGGATTTATGCTGAAGACCTTCTGCAAGTCGCAGCGCAAGCCGGAGAACATGAAATTCGACAGGAGAACATCCTTCTGAACTTCGCGAGCGATATTATCCACTGTTCCGGGATTCTCGAGGCCTAAGAGCTTCCTTTTCGCCGAAAGATTGGAGCAAGAGTCTGCGATGGTTGCGGCGATGGCATTGTCTGTTAAGAAGGACCATGTAGACGTCGATGATGACTTCTCCTCGACCGCGACCGCCATGTTTGAGGCTCGGAGTGCAGCACTTCTGCAAGTGCTACCAACCGTCTGAGAAGGGGACTCTCGGCCGTGTGAGGATTGAGGGATCGATTAAAATCGGGAAGGAAGAAAAGGAAGAGAATTGATGTGCTGAAAGATGCTCTCGTGACCGCAATGATTTGCTGTCCGTTGGAGCTTGACTTTTGCAGGCACTGGGAAATCCATGAAGAAATGAGCCTGTAACTCCGTAGAAGGCAAGTCGCCCGCAGGCAACCCGTGCCAAGCATGCAGTGGGACCGATTGGCAGATTGATCGCCGCTTTAGACTCACGCGCTAGACTGTGGCCAATGGGAGGACGAGAGTGGAAATTCGAGACTAGGCGGCGAGGCGGCAACCACCTCGGCGGCCCTCGTGCTGCCCATGCTTTTTGCCTTATCAAATGACCCGCACGACTTACTTTCTGTTACCCGGTGCCTCGACAGTCATTCATCCTTCATGAAGAGCTTGTTAGATCGGGTCTCGATACTTATGACGATATCTAGATAATGCCAGCGGTGGCTGTATAGATACAGGAAGAAGGGTATCGCACTTCCCGCTGACAGCTTGCCAACAAACGAGACCGAGCGGGAACCCGACATTGAGCAAAATCAACGAGTTCCGTAGGCCCGTGCGGACGAGCAGTTGAGACTCCATATTCGTCTGGTCGGCATTAATACGCCTGAGCCTGGTTGGCAATTATCATTTTCCTTAGACCTCCTTCGCAAAGCTCATCGTTCGCCATGGATACTCTCCTAACCGCCGAGTCGGCGGTCAATTCGCCCCGCTACCGACGGAAGTCGAGCACCTTTATCGACGCAATCCATGACCTCCCGGAGAAAACTGAGATGGCACCAGCTCAGCTCTACAGTACTGAATCAGGACGACTGTTCCATGCTGGTCGGATTGCCATTACCACAGTAGGACTACCTGCTCGCGGCAAGACCCACATCTCGGTGGCATTGGCTCGGTATCTACGATGGCTCGGGGTAAAAACCAGGATTTTTCACCTTGGTGACTATCGCAGAGCTATCGTAGGTCCAGGGAAGGATGTTCCTGATGATTATTTCTTCGTCAACGCCTCGGCGTCGTCGGTATTGCTAAGACAGAAGATCCTCAAGAAGTGCCGAGAGGATATTTACCACTTCCTCAACCATGAGAACGGCCAAATTGCAATCTATGATGCAGTCAACCCTCTGTCTGCCGGTCGAAGGTCACTAGCCAAGGAATTCGCGAAGCACGACATCAAGTGTCTGTTTATCGAATCAAGTTGTGATGATCAGCGGATAATCGAAGAGAATGTCCGCAGCGTCAAAATCTCCTCGCCCGACTACATTGGATGGCCCGAGGCAGACGCAGTAAAGCATTACCTGAACAGAGTAACTGCCAAAATCCCGCACTTCGAGACCATGGAGGAGCCAGACCTCGACTGGATCAAGATGATCAATGCAGGAGAGAGACTAGTGGTCAACAACACGAGCTTCGGTTATCTGTCGCACCGGATTGTGTTCTATCTGTTAAATTTACACATCAAATCTCGGCATACTTATTTTGCTCGTGCGGGCACGACTTTGGAAGAGGAGTCCTTCAAGGCTGATGCACGTCTGTCTCCTCAAGGCAAGGACTATGCAAAGAAGATGAGTGAGACATTGCTCAAGCATCGAGAGGAAGAGAGACGGGCTCTGATCGAAAAGGGAGGGATTGACACTCCGCTGAAACCACTCATCGTATGGACATCCACGAGACGGAGGACCGTAGAAACTGCGGCATTCCTAGAAGCCAGGGGTTTCAAAGTGAGGCAGAGATCTCAGATGAGTCAGCTTAATCCCGGCGTGTGCGAAAAGAAATCGGAGCGCAGAATTCGACAGGAATATCCTGAGGAGGTGGTGAAGCATGATCTTGATCCATACCACCACCGCTTCCCCAGAGCAGAGGTGAGGACAATTCCATCCAGATGCTGTTTGGTGGTCCTGACAATGGTAGTCCTATCATGATGTTGCAGTTCGGTTGGAGCCCATCATTCTCGAGTTGGAAAGGGAACAGAATGATCTTCTCATCATTGCCCACGAGAGCGTCCTCCGTGTGCTTTACGGGTACCTGATGGCCTGTAATGCTGCGGACATACCCTTCCTATCATTCCCACGAGACGAGATAATCGAGGTAGTTCCCAAAAATCGTCAATTGCAAACTAACACTGACACCAGTCCAGATCATTCCGGCCAGTTACAACAATGAGGCGAAGCGGATAAAGATTCCAAACCTCCCTCCAGAGATCATCCCTGCCTCACCAGAGGGAATCAAGGCGGCCGCTCCGCCCAGCGGATTTGCTACTCCTGTGCCTGGCCTGGGTAGTGGCCTCGCCAGCCCCAGAACCGGGAGAAGCACGCCGGAGCCAGGTTCTGGATACAAGACCCCAGAAGACTCTGAGAATCTGTCGGTGAGGATGCACGACGTGGTGTGATATGGTCGGCGGGTGTGGCAATGAGGCAACATCGCATGGGAGCCTCGAAAGGTTCGCGGTCATATCATTCAATGTATGGTATCTAATCCCATTGTCATAGATTCAAAAGTGTCGGCAGTGGTATCCGGTCCTGGCCGCATCCATGCTCAGCCACCGTGGAGAGTAGACACGAATAGAATAGTATCTTTATTGACGAGCTCGTATTTGTCTTCGCCCTCGAGCTCCCAATCGGAGTCGTTGATCAAGACCAGAATGCCTGGTCGACTTCCAGTCGCAGCATTAGTACTGTGGCCGAACGAACACGTCTGGTCTTCACTTACACATTGCCGTTAAGCACAAACAACTCTTTTCTCGAATCTTTCATCAGATTGTTGCAGAGGTACTTGACCAGGTACCCGACGGTGGGAGGCTTTCCGTCGTCGGCATCATTGGCAAGCGACAATGAGTGTTTCGACACATTGTCAAAGAGCATTTCTAAGCCACCACTTGTGCTTCATCAGTCAAAGCAACCCGTAGGCACGAAGGAGGTCAAACCCACGTGAACTCAACCGTGACATCAATCTTTCCGGACATGTTGCGGAGATTGGCCCACGCCGCGGTTTTCAAGATCCTCACCTCTTCATCAGAGCAGCTGGGGATGAGATTTGCTCCGGACCGTGTTTTTACCGCTCCCAGCCCTCCTCGCCTCCACTTCGAGATGGAGGAAGATATATTTTCCGGGGCTTAGTTAGCTAAATGACGTGATGTCACGTGTGTATCGTTGCCATCGGATGTCACTCTGGTTTTACACGCTCGTACCCGCTTCTCTCTTTCAAAAGTCAAAAGGTCGAGACTCATTTGACTGATCACCGAGTATAGGTCAGGTCACCAATCCATTCTGTTTATCCCGATGTTTCCTTTGGTTCCAACGGGCTACTGTGAAATATTACATCTTTAGACAGGACCTTCACGAAGCGAGGGTTCAATTCGTCTCACGATTGCGTATCAGCTTGCCGCAGCTGGCGTGTAATCATTCGGTTCAGCCCACTCTTCCGGCGCAATCCCACAATCAGTTCATCCAACTAAGTCGAAGCAGCCGCAGACTTAGAAGGGCTTCAGAAGAACCAGAGTAATTGAAGCAAGAGCCAGCCGGTCGGAACCTGACAGCTCAGTTAGCGGACAGTTGGTCTCTCCCAAACAGTACTCACATTTTGTCTAGAGGAAGCGCCGCTTGCAGCTGGGATTGAGGTCGATGGAGCACTGGTGGTAACCGAAGGAAGCGTATGAGTGGCCACAGGAATCGATGTGGTTGGGGCTGGGGCTGGCGGCTCCGTGATGCTGATTGTTGCCGTTGCGCTCCTCACATTCCCAACCCGGGTACAGAGCCCCGCGGCGGCCTGATACACTGAAACACCGCCTGGATCAGCAGTGGATGCCCAAGGAATACACGCACTCTGCAGCTGGTCGAACGGCCCCGGGTCATAAGTTGCGCCCGAGTAACACAGGCAACTAGCTTGACCGCCATCATCCAGCGAGGTGAATCCTGAAGTCTCGGCAGCACACGAGCTGATCATTGAAAAGGCATTGGAACAACTCGCCGAGTACGAGTCCGTGGGCATTGACGCTGCGCCTGTGATTGACGCGGTCCCGGCTCCTGAAGAAGTGTTGTCATCCGTGGTCGTGGTAGCAAGCAACAACGATGAAAAGCAGTCGGCTGCTGTGGTTTGGCCGCAACACGAGATGAATTGGCTGCCCCCCAGAGATGCACAGGAAGTACAGAAATTGTCGACGCAAGCTATCCGCAGTCAGCGTCCGAGAGAGGGTTGCGAAAAGGAACATCCGGAGGGCCCTTACAGCTCAGAATGGGAGGGCATGTGGCGGCATAGTTGGTGCAGGATATATACAAGGCTGAATAGGAGAGATCCGACGTGGTCTGTGCCTCCTGTCTTGCACGGAAAACATTCATTTCGGCTACAGCAGAGCTCACGAGCCCACTCAAAAGAACACTTAACAAGAGAGCAAAAGTCATGGTTGGGTTTACAAGGAAATCAAGGCAACAAGTCGATCATATCTGAGATCAGGCAGAGGCACGACAGAGGGATGCTCTCAACATTTATGCTTCCCCTCGGCACTTTTGTTCCAAGCGAGCACAAAAGCCCAAACCATATTGGTTGTGGATACGCATCTGGACTTGTTTTCCACGCAAGCTTTTTGTAAGCTTTCCACGGTGAGACATGTGGCGTGGGCGACTAGGGTTGATTGCTTGCAAGCCACGGCCAGAGTTGTACTAATGGTAAGTCACTAATTCACTCATTAGACCAAGCGAACACCACACGACTCGCCAAATCGGTCGATTCTCGCTTAAAATATGCCAAAACCGACACCTCAGGCAGCCACATTCGTTCCAGACACGGGATGGACTTTTGGTGCGTTCTGGAGACTCCATGATGATGGGAGATTTATGCACCCCATCCTGATTTATGTCCGCAGAGCCTCCTGGGAGTCGGAACGACTCCCTAGAAAATATTGTGCACCTGCCTTCTTCCCGACTGAATCATTTTCAATTAGCCGTCGCGTACCTGTTTACGCATGGTCTCACGGTTCAGATGGCTAGAATTCTTCTCGATTATTCTGGCTCCGATGTTCGACTATTCTTTCGTATCTTCTTTGTTGCTGCTTTCATCCTCATTAACCTTTTGGGAACCAAATGTCTGGCTGCGCGCGCTAAACTCAGGCTTGTCCAAAGACACACTGTTCCACTGCCGTACATGAGTTCTTGGCTGGCCAGCTTCGACTCCTTGTACGCTTTGCAGATGGTAAAGACACTACCGGGAGGATGGCTCGGCTTGCTTATGATCTTTGCCTATCTCCTGAACCTAGGCTCGGATTTTACATCAGCCCTCCTCCAGTCGGTGCCTGTTCATGACCGCTGCAAATTCGGGACCGGTCTGGTCGTCTCAACAACGCTCAATGGACGGATCCCCTGGAATGGAGCGCCGTACACGGTCGTCTCACAGGCGCAAACGACAAGTTTGCTCAACTACGGCTTGAAGGGAGTATACAAAAAGGCAAACCGTGCAATCGACTTCAGCGCTGATGCCACTGACATGCTGGGCCAGTGGCACTGTCTCAGAAATCCCCTTGAACTGGATTACCCGTGGGATGTATCAGTCGACGATATAGTAGCCAGTCTACAGCAACATGATGTCCTCTATGACACTCCGTACGCCATCTCCGCTGCGATCGGAAACATATCACATCTAGTGATCATTGATACGTCCGCTGGGAAGAACGTTGACACGGTCTTTGACGTGCGATTCTCTGTCGACACCACTGCATATGGAAATGAGACGAAACACATGCAAAATTACGAATGCAGTCTTGACGACACGTACGGAGAGCTTCAAGCCGTCCAAAAGGGAATACACTCGCTCGACACTCTCCAAAACTGGGCCGAAGTCTTTCAAGGCGCCGTATACGAGGGCACAGGCACACCTGCATCCAACAGTACTGGAGGTATATTGGAACAAATTCTCAACTCAATGACCATGGTTGCAGGAGGGGGCAACTACCTACTGGACACCAGCCAGTCGGAAGATACACAAGGTTGCATCATCCAACGCACACACATTTTATGGGAGCTCATCATGCTCTCTGGCTTGACACTCCTTCTCTTAGGATTCCTGTTTTTCTTCTGGCTTGGAATGACAATGAGATTGAGGATATTGAGCGGTCGCACGAGTCCAGACGATGCGAGGTGGATCGAAGAGAATACGCCGATCGGAAACTTCGGGTGGATGGCGCAGGCTGTGAGAGAGTCTCAGAGGCCCCGACCTGTTGAGGTCAAAACTGGTGATCTGAAGCACTGGCATTTTGGGACATCCTCGGATGGAGGCGGTCTTTGGATCACCAACAAAGCGACCCGTTCAAATATTGCAGAGGAGGCAATCTCTTTGCGGTCAACCTCAGCTCTTTAGGGGGGCTCTCGACTATCCTGGCAAAAGGCCCGAAGGGGAAAAATGAGGAGGCAGATGCGCGCCCATGGTATGTAGTTCCCGGAGTCCTCTTCCATTAATGGTCGTCGGTCATTGAAGCATACAATAACATAAAACCGGGACAAAACAAAAGCTGATAAGAATTCTTTCCTGAGCCTTGGTGAGCTTGCTTGAACTTGTCATCCATCTTTTTCGAAAAGCATTACGATGGGGAGTTCTCCTTCTCTCGAAGACGCACCCGTTCAAGGACCAGACACTTGACTCAACACGCGCCGAAGGAGAGAACCGCAGGACATCATCGTCTGTCACAGGAAAGAAAGATTTCAATTGATTTCATTGCTTCAGAGCCTTGTGAATGATGCAAGAGCGCGCCAGAGGATCAAGACGCTATCAATCTGCAGAGGTGTTTCGACGTGATATTAACTAGGTACATACTAGGCATTGACGGCTCCCAAAAAGGTACATACGGAATACAGCACTGCCGCAACGACCGGAAGACACCCAGAGACCCCCTTGCATACCGAACTGGATGAGGATCCCTATCGCAAAATGAACCGCTTCCGGATGAAAAAAAGGCTCTTTGCGGACCCAGTCAGCCAGCAGCTACCGAAAAGAGGAATGCATCTCGAATGGATATTATCATTATGATTATTATTCGAACTCGACAATCCCCCCCTCCCCCATTTAT